GGGGGGGGGGGGGGGGGGGGGGGGGGGGGGGGGGGGGGGGGGGGGGGGGGGGGGGGGGGGGGGGGTAATTTGCTTTGGAATGGCTCTCGATGCAGCTCCACAAAATGTAGCGTATTGGTCACGAAAATTGTCCCCAACAGCTTCTTCATCTCACCGGACTCGAACCCACTCCGAGTTTTGTTGGGGTCAACCTCAAAAACTGTAACTGGTATGCACAATGTGAACAAAGAACAACTTGTGGCGCAAAATTATGCTCGCCTTTCAGGTCGGGGCTTTCTCGCAAATGATGGGGAGGACGGGATCCAGGCCTACCATCCACTCCATGCTGCACGCCGTAGAAGCCATTCGTCTGCACGGTGAGAAATTCCAAACGAGTTGAGCAGAGTCGCTGTGGCCTCTCTGGAGAGCAGCTGTACCTTGTGACCATCATGGGGACGAAACACGGTTGCTTATTTGCGGGTGGAGGGGTTTTGTCACGTGCCACTCACCGTTCAGCACCCGCCTCACATAACCCTTTTTGGCTACTGCAGTAGTGGCGTTGGCGTCTTCGTGCTTCACACTTACTGCCCTGAAACAATAGAGTAGTGCACGAGTCTTCCGTATCAGCTCTCGCTGCCCGAACATCCAATGAACACCGCAAATCCAGGGGTATGTCCGGATGCGAGTACGGGGGAACACGCTCACCAAATGAACAAGTCTGGAAAAGCTGTGGACTGCGGTAGGATGCCGTCACTCCACATGGCTAAGCGCGCGAACGTCAACTCCGCGCTTGTGGCGTTGTCCAACGGGCTGCCGTACAGAATCACCAAGTACAACCGGAGTTCCAACGCCCACGAAGTAGTCTCCGTCAAACCTGGTGCTGGCTGCGTTCAGCTCATGCAGTCGCTTGCGAGCTTCCTCGGACACGCCCGAGTGCCGACCGACATTCATGCCAAGGCTATTCAAACGCCAGCACAGCTGAGAGGCCAATTCCAGGGGTCTGCAGTTTGGACTGCTTCTCTGTTCAACGCCGGCGCGGGCGCGCCCGCGTTGAACGAGCAGCAGGATGGTGGCGAATGGCTTTCTCGCTTGAAGTCCAGCAAGTTCCGGCCCGAGAATGCCGCGCTGCTGGGTAGGTACAGGAAGTTTTTCGCATGCGACATGGCAGGCGCATGCTCAAACGTTCGTTGTCCGAACTGCTGGGTCGGAGACGACCTGGAAACGGTTACCATCGAATGCTCACGCTACCTCCGAGTGCCCATGGCAGCGAGTTGCGGCGTTGGTCGTCTTAAGGGCGGCGATGTCAAGTCCGCTGCTCAACCTGGGCCGCGTGACGACTGGGCACTCGGGAGTGGCGGTGGAGATAACGTAGAAGTGCACCAGCAACCTTCCACGATGGGCGAGGCGGGCCGTGTGGATCCTCGGGACCTCAGCCTTGTGAAGGTTTTGTACTTCTTCCGCCACCAGGGGAATCCGCCCCTCATGGGCGGGGCCCCACCACCGCTTACATGGTGGGTACTCGGGTATGACTACACCGGGGTTCGTCACGGCAACGACCAAGCCCCCGACTCCGTCACCGGGCACCCGACGTTGCAACTTCGAGGTCGGGGGCGCCCTGTCGTGTACCCTGCTGACGCCATTCATAGGCAGGTGCGCCTCTACCACGCGTGTCCGTTGAGGGGCGAACATGGAGCTGACGACAGCTCTCAAGTTTGCAAGGAAGAAGTGGTAGTGGGTGGTAGTTCCGGTCGGAGACGTGTTTGGCGCCACTACTTCCGCGAATCAACGCCAGGAACCGACGGGTACGATAGGTACGTGGTGAACGAATGTCACCACAGCATCAACCAAGACACTTTCATCTGAGCACGTGAGGCGGTCAGATCATCCAGCTTTCAGAGGTGAGTTTGATGGAGAAGAGAGACGTTTCGTGCGAATGGAAGGAGAATTTCGAGAATTTCTAAGTCTATAAACAAGTATGTTGATTCGTGGAGTTCGGGGCACGACCCACCTTCATGGGATGATATTCAAAATACCGTGTGCTCCGACGCACACATACTCTCCCATCATTTTGTCGCGCCCTAGCCTAGACTATATGTTCCTTTTCATCTTTTTTCGGCCTGCCAAAGACGGCCGTCAATTATTGACTTCTTCACTAGAACTGACAGTGACAACTCGCCGTCTCCCCCTCTCTGTGTCCTCTGCTGCCCTCGAACGTTCGCATCCTTTGTGCAAAATTTAAGCATGGTCTTTTGGAGTGCGGCATATCATTGTGGCAACGCCCGCCTGAGTCGGCCTCATGGCAGGAGATCGCCCACCTCAAGTGCGAGGCGGGGCATTTTACGCTCAGGCGGGGCATTTTATGCACGTCGTCTGTTCATCTATTTGTTCACATTTTTTGGCGTTTTGACCAGTTTTGACATGTGGGGGTTTCGTGTTGCACGTCGGCGCGACGGCGATGAT